TATTCCGAGCATGTTAAGCCTCGGCGTTCCTACCCTTAAGGACTTGAGAGTCTTAAGTCAGTTGCCAAAACCGCTCGACATATGCTATTAAGGGATGTTTTTTTTTGTATTTTTATTATTTTCTTTTATTATTTTATTTTGCCACTGGCGAATGGATGTTCCTTCAGGACTCCAGGACCCTAGGACTGGTGACAAGCGCTGCCTTTATCCCTTAATAGTATATTAACAACAGTAGCTAAAGACCTATGATAGGTCTTTAGGCTAACTGGTTGTTACAACACTACAGTATCTAATATAAAGTATTCATTACATATTGTATAATTTTAAAAAAATACTAATAACACTATTTATTTCAATCTTCTTAATATTCACATATTTTATCTAGTTACTGAAATTGTATAGAAAATGATAAAAGTTAGGTTAAGATTTTTAATTTTTCCTAGAAAACATTAGGTTACCCGCATCATTTTGGAAATTTATTTCACAAATTGGGTACTTTTAAGTAATAATATACACGGAAAAAAAATTGTAGAACAAATTTCTACAATTATAGATTTTTTCTCTACAATAAATAGTACATATAGGGACAGGGACAATTTGTAGTAAAAATTTCCAAATATTTGTGTAGAATGTATTGTAGAGTTATTATCTACAATATTTAGTAAAAATATCCAAATGCATCATAAGAATTGTTCTACAAATTGTTATAATTTTTGCTATTCATTGTATGAATTTATATTAAAAATGTATTGCGTTTTATGAAAATAAATACGAAAATTTTACACAATAAATAGTAAAAATTCATACAACTTGTAGTAATTTTTAATAAAACTTGTAGTAGTATTCCATGATTATTATAATTATAACCTAGAAAAAAATGTTCCTTAATAAAATATTCAATTTATTGTTTTAATATAACAGATACAAAGTCTAAATTACATTATGTAATAAATAACAGTAATAATAGCACCCTCAGTCTCAGTTGGCTTTTCTGAAAAATATGAAATAAAAATTAATAACAATTGAACTGTTCATACCCTTAAAACGGGGATATTTATCACCTTTACACTGATTTGGATATTAAATGACTAAGTCAGATAACTAACAAAAATGAGAAAGTAGGTATGTCACAAATAAGACAAAAAAACATCATTGAATTTGGCACAAAATTCGATCGTTGGGCACAACATTCGATCGTTGGCCACAACTATTTTTTTAAAAATAATCTACTAAGGTTATTTAAATTAGTTATCTAAAGGTAAATTATTCAGAAACAATAATAAATGTACTTAACACCAATAGAATTTATTATTAAAATTTTCTCAAACGCATCGGTGCTTATAATATAATAATATGTTATAGGTACGCGTATATGTACCATGCTTTGTTATGTGAACATGGCGAACGGCTACTGCTGTCTGGCCATTTATGATCGACGTTAGAAAACGTTGGCCAATAGCAGAATCCTGTTTTGTTCACATGACTTAGAATTTCTACAATATTATAGAATATTTTTGAACAAAATTGAATATTTTTGATAAGAAGGGATGTAAATTATAACTATTTTTTGTAGAGAAAATTACTATATTTTGTAGAGATAATTATTAATATTTGTACAAATTTTTTCAGAAGTTAGTAGTAGTAATTACGATAATTGTAATAAATTTCTACTTCTACAAACAATAGTAAAATATACTAAACATTGTGGAATTATTTTCTATTGTTGTAGCATTTTATTCGACAATTCAATTGCTACAATAATGAATAGTTTTTAACTATAAATTGTAGTAAAATTTTCTACAAATTGTTAAGTATTTTTCTACAAGTCTACTACTACAACATTGTAGTAAAATTTTCTAGTCACATTTTTTCCGTGTATGCTGTTAAAATTTGGCAAAGTATTCAAGAATAAAATACAAAAAGAAGTTTTTACTTATAAAGAAATAAAATTGTAAATGTATTCCTTACCTGCGACTAACTTTATCCTGACAATCTGGATCAGCACAAGGACGAATTCGCACCATAATTATATATGTTTGAAGCTTCAAAAATTCTCTTCGAAAAACTAACCTAATAAAACAAATCAACCATTACCATTATTATGTGTTTTTTTTCTATGTTAATGGGTCCTATGATTGAACGTTTACGTTATCCGTAACGTACATGTTAGGCCGAATTTTAAAAGTAACGAGGCAAGTTCGTATGATGGAAACCTATTAAATTAGAACATAACAGGCGGAAAATAACAGTAATGTGTTATAAAAGACTTTACATCATACGAATTTGTCTCATTGCTGTTAAAACTCGGCCTAACATGTATGTTACGGATAACGTAAACGTTCAATCATAGGACCCAATAGCTGTTGAAAGTTTTAAATAACAACTTGCGTACACTTGCGTTACTCTGAACCTGCTCTGAATACACTCTGAATCTGCTCGACGAATGCAACGAGCAAACTTTGTGTAAAGTAGCGCCATCTATGAGTGATGCACAGTACTACAACACGAGTAAGCATTTCCCTATTAAAGATCCCCTAGCCTGGTGGAAGAGTCTTTAATGTCTCAATACCTTAAACAAATAATTCATTACTCCCACCACCAAGATTTTTGCGCATGCGCAGTAGTACAAACGAACGTAATGTAAGCGTCGTTGCGACATGCGATTACGTGAATGAAGGTTAGGTTAGGAGTGCGTACGAAAAGTTCTCCTTGTTTCATCGTTTTCTTATTTTTCATCTTTTCTCGGTAGATTGCTTTAGAACTTAGGAATAATTACAAAGAAAAACCAACTAAGAAAAAGAAATTAATTACAAGTTTACTAAAAATGAGCCTAAATAGAAAAGCTGAGTTTCAAAGAGAGACAATTTTGAAACTAATTGACTTACTGTAAATACTTTAAATATATAATTTTAAAACAAAATATATTTTATTTTCAATGTCCAGTGTTGATTTTATCCTATTACAAATAACTTTCCCGCATTTAAATTATTAGCAATATTTGTCCAATCTTTACATAAATGTCCACATAAGCACTCTACTGTATAGAGTGAACTACACGTTTTCCATTTAAAAAGCATTGGTGTCCAAAATTCTATGTACTTACGTGTTGCAAATGGCTACCACTGCAAATGACTACCGTTGAATTATATTCGAATAAAACCAATAATAGCAAAGGTCTACGCTCTTTCGTTCCTTTTAAAAATGATACGTCTCATCTGCCCGTTCGTCTGTTTGTCTTTGTCTAGCTATATGTGTGTGTCTATGAATAAGAGCAAAGTTAATGCCTTTTTGACAGCACTTATCCAGCTTCTTCAAAGATCTTCTTCCACAACAAAGCTTGGGCCTTCTCTTTCATCTTTATTATCAGCTCTTCCGTGCCTGTTGGACGTTGGTTTAAAAGACTTTTTTGACTGTTGACAGGATAGAAAACATTTGACATATATGTTGTTTGAATCTTTCCTATTAATAGAGTCACTGAAGATGTTAAACTATAACGCATGTAATTTCCCCCTCTCAAATCCCCTTCCCCCCACTCCCCTATTTTTTGTTTGATTCTATTCAATGAAAGTTGGGACTTTTGGCTTATGACTGTTAACACGTTGCGCTATCTCACGGTGACTTTTGGAAGTAGCGAGCCGCCATCTTGGATTGCTAAACCGTGTCGCAAGCCAAGTCGCACAACTGACGGGTTAGATAACGTCTCCCCACTCCCCCATGTTATTCTACTTCAGCCTACTCTCCTCCCCCGCCTTAAGCTCTTCATACCTTCAGACATCATGACTTTTCTTATATGGCACTTAGGTTTCCACTCATTCACCTCAGCCTCCAGTTCTCATATCTCCAGGCGTTAGCCCTAAGCCATCCCTCTTTCTTTCTCTTCTTTTAGGCCATCCTCTAGTTCTTCTTGTCGCCTGGTGTCGCCTATAGCCACTGCGCAGGTTTTCACACCCCCACACTGCCCTGTTTCCCACCCCCACACTGCCCCGTTTCCCACCGTTTAAATCATCTACAAAAAGTTCATAGATTAGCGGAGCACTTAAGAAATACCTTCCAACCAAATGAATGAGAAGAATTACCGAACTGGGCTTCTCTAGAGAGAGATGGCTCAATTATCAGACCAATCTCACCAAAGGAAATTGCAGAAGATATAAAAACAAATATTAATCCTAAGAAAGATCCTGTCTTTGATTTAATTACTGGAGAGATCTTAAAACAACTTTCGAAGGAAGCCATAATTAAACTTATACACCTGTTTAATGCCTCATTCAAACTAAGGTATGTCCTTAGGTTGTGGAAAGTAGCTAAAGTTATTATGATCCCTAAACCAGGAAAACCTTTGAACGAAGTTATGTCTATTTGAAAAAATACAAATAAAAAGACTAAAGAAAAAGAAAGCACCGTTGTCAACCACATTAGCTGGCTCACGAGCTAGGAGGGTGCACAAATGCCGTTGGGCAATCCACCTTCTACACGTTAGACATACAGAAGCAATTAACGATTCAAATTGTTGGTTGATTGCAGATCATAAGTACTTGGAAGATATTTCACTTGATTTATTGTGATCCGTTAAAATGTTTCTTTTGTCTGATCAGGCATCTGAGAAAAAATTCAAGTCACTATTTTGCCATTGTAATTAGTATTATTAATGGTATATTTAATTTTCTTCTCTAATAAATCACTATTAAATACCATGTTCTTTATTGTTTAATGGTATTAAAATATTTACCTGTTTAGAGAAATTAAAATTAGTAAGTTCTTCTTCTTTTTCGCCTCATTTCCTTATGCTTGTCCAAGCATCAGATATTTAAATAAAATATTAAATATAGAAAAACTTGGTTCATAAATGTAAAATATGTATTAGTTCATAAAAAAAAAAACAATTTAACAAATGATTTTATACAAAAATAATTTCGCAGTTATAATATTATGTAGTAAACAGTATTTTGTATTTTTTATTTGTTCCATCCTTAAGTGTATTATAAAATACTTTTGGACACCATTTAAATCTTCTCCAGATTCAACCAAACGCCTCCTTTCACTTGAGGTATAATGCTATTAGTTGAGAACACCAAGGGCTCTTTCGTTTTTTTGTTCAAAGTAACCTTGAAATTTTTCAGAATGCTTACCAAACCAACTTTAGATTGCATTATTCCAAATCTCATTCCTTCAAAAAAAAAAACTTATGAAAAAGAAAATATCACATTGGGATAGGAAAAAATCATCAGTAAAGTAAATGTAGAGTGAGATAGAGTGGGGTAAAGTGGAATAAAGTGGGGTCGAGTAGGGTTTGAATTGGGTACAGTGAAGGCATAGTGATGTAGAGTGAGGAGGTAGAATGGAGATACAATGAGGTAAAGTGGAGTAGAGTGGGGATAGAGGGAAAGGACGTAGAGTAAAGAGAGAAAACCCAAAATAGCTGTCTCTCACACATATCTGCAATCTCCCCTATTCTCTAATTTTTAAGATGTACGGTGCTTCACGCAATTTTATTTACTGTGAGATGGATATGATCAAGCGTAGAATGTTCATTACGAAATCCGAATTAAGAGGACGAGACAAGTTGTTATTTTTGTCAATTATCTTAAAAGCAATTTTTAAAGAAAAAGAACAATTTTCAAGAATATTGACCAGGCAATTTTAATTTAAAATCCAAATAAGATAGATGCATACTGCGTGGCCGATTTTACAGTATTTTAAATATCAGTACTATTTATTTTGGCTATAAACATAATTTTAAAAAATAACAACTATATGTAAATAAGTGTAACTTTTTTACAAACCTATACAAATTCTGGGTCCTTCACCGAACGGAATAAAAGCGTAAGAGTTTCTGTTCTGTTTATTTTCATCCGTAAATCGTTCTGGATCAAATACTTCTGGGTTTTCGTAATAGTCTTGATCATAATGGATACCTCTAATTGGAATAAATACACGCACACTCTTCTCAATTTTTACATTTGTTCCTGGAACCACATAATCTTCTACACATTTTCGAGTAATAAATGGTAATGCTGGATATTTTCTAAGAGTTTCTGAAACAAAAAAAAAATATGAGAAGTTATTTTATCTTTTTTTTAATCATTATGGCTTTTGTAGTACCTGTTGAATTGGCTAGTATAGTTTTTTTTAATTAATAATATATTTTTTGAAGGTTGGGTCACTTAGTTACATGTATTAGGATCCGTTTAAAATACTGTTGGATAAAAAGAATAAAAAATTTAGTTCAATTTCGAATGAAAAGTTTCGCAAGCATTTGTTATTCGCTGTATTACGTCTGTCAATTCAGCATACATTTCTGAAGGAAACCTTGCATCTTCGCCAATATAAAAATCTACCAAGTAATCAGCTTGGTTCAGCATATCTTCCATCAAATCAAATAAGAAGCAATCTCCTCAAGAAAGGTAATCCAAAAATATATTGTAACCATTTCCCTATTACACTACTTTTATCTTTATATTCCTTTGATAAATCAATGATTTGCAGTTTTCTGAACCAGGCTTATCTCAATTGAACTCGACATCCAATTATTTTTGATTCACTCCACGTTGCAATCGTCTGAGACGTTCAATAATGCCGAATTTCTACCGATTAAAAAAATGTTCGATCTTTTTTACAGGAATGTCTCCTCAGAATAACCAGTCGGCATAACTTCGAAGAGATGTGATGTAAGGATAGTCGCAGGACTTCTCAATAAGTTGTAGGATATATTCCTTCTTCTAAAATATCTCTAATTTTTTCCCAAATTTTTGTTTTTATCATTTTACCTATCTGTTGCCATTGCTCTATGTTACTGGTCATGACGTTTAAAATGTTTTCTTTAGATAACCCAATTCCAATATATTCATCTAGGTCTAGCCTGATCTCTCTCCATTCTCCGCATTGAAACAAGTTATCCACGTTCGGACAATACATGCATTCTTGTTGCTCAGTCACACCTAATCTATTCAGGTATTCCATAAACCAGCCGTGATCAGTTAGACATTGAGTAATATAAAATGTAACGTTTCCTAGTTTCAGTTAATTCCAATTTGCAATATTTAGTTTGAGTGTACGTTTATTTTCCTTTTTCACATGTTTCCAATTTTCTCTGTCACTTTTCAAAAGTTTTTATTTCAGTTTCTTTCTTTTCAGCTATGCTCTCACCTTTGTAACGGGTTAAAATGGTAAAACCTCTATTTTAATAATTTATTTTAATAATTTAAATATAAATTGGACTAAAAATGGCGTTTCTTATCTGTTTCGATATTTGAGGATATCTATTTCGATATTGTTATTATATTCTTCTATTATTAATAGGTGTCGATAGTTGTTTCGTTTCAGTAGAAAATAAACAGTATCTACCTCCAATGTTTTTGCCAATTTAAAAACAAAAGTTCTGTACTGTTCGAAAGTCGAAATAAATTAATTTGGTATTAGCAAGATACTTACTGTTGACAGTGAACACTGTGATATATTTTTTTCGTGATTTATTTGTAAATCTTACAACCTTGGTGGATAAAACTCATAAGTGTTCCTGTAATCAATCTTGTATGCATTTTGACACGTTAGGTGTATTATTGTGGTGTTTTAAGATTGAAATCTTCTGTGGAAGGATTAAATTGTCAACGTCCTCAATTAGAAGTAAAGTACATGCTTAATTTATTTTGTTAATTAAATTTATTATTACGGGGTATTTTTTTTATACTATTGGGTCCAAGTATACGGTACGAGTATACGATCTAAGTACTTATACAATCCAAGTAACGATCCAATCAGGCATAGGGTCCCGTTAAAAAATCCAGGAATTGGCAGTTTCACGTCATCTTCACCGGTTCACCAGATTACGTCACTTTTCGGCCAGTTACACTATTTTAATTGGAGTTCATCATCGTCGTTATATTCTCACTAGACCTCTGGAATTTCTGCTTTTCTAGTATACAGCTTGTCCTATTGTATGACCATGTCCAGACGAATACGAACAGGAAAATACAGATAAGAAATATTTTAATAGTATATCGTTTATTTTAAAAACACATTTATTTAGCGCAACGTTTTGGTTTTGAATTTACATGAATATTTATTTACGACTTATAAAACTTTATTTAAAACTTTATTATTTTTACTTTTATCTAAAATTTGGCTATTTTACATCTATGAACTCAACGTGTACACGCTGGGGGGTTTAAAACCACATTTTTGGACATAAAATAACAATCAGATACTAAATGTTAGGAGAGGGTTGTAACACTAAACTCGACTATTTAACTTCACTATTTATTATATTCGACTAAACTGTATAATGATTCGCACAATGATGCCCTATATCTCAATAAAACGCTTATATAATTTCTGATGATTTCGACTTATCGCCTAATGAGTCATAGTACTAGATATTCCAGCGGCGTCTCTTACGGGGTTGCTAACACGGCCATCCTACGGTTTGTTCGTCCTCGAACATATGTACTATCTAAAACAAATAAAATGGGTGATGTTTAAGGGTTTCTAATATACGAACATAGTAGTCCAAGCAATGATACTTGAAATCTGTTATTCACTGAGGCCTTAATACCTGCAGCACTAATTGAAATAACTTTGAAACCACTGTAGGCCTTTATACCTGCAGTTTCTAACTTGAAATCACCGTAGGCCTTTATACCTGCAGTTTCTAACTTGAAATCACTGTAGGCCTTTATACCTGCAGTTTCTAACTTGAAATCACTGTAGGCTTTTATACCTGCAGTTTCTAAATTGCTATGGCTATAGGCCTTTATACCTACAGCCCCTTTTTGTGTATCTTAACTTTTACTACATTTTAAGTTGCTAGAGGCCTTTATACCAAAAGCATAATAATTGTATATTTACCTTGTTCTTATTTTCGAAGGTTAAATATCTTAATGTCTTCTACACAATATACTCCTTCATAAGCTATATTATTTTTTGATCTCTTCGCATGGATATCTTCTTTAACTTTATATCGGTCATTAGGCAGAACCTCTATAATTTTAAATGGCCCTTTGTACTTCTCTAACAATTTCTTGCTTTGACTATTGTTAGAAGGAACACTTGAAATTCTTACTAGAACCAAATCTCCTACCACGAATGTTTCTGCTGGTTTTCTTTTCTTATTAAATATGTTTCTCTGGATTTTTTCATTTGCTTCTAAATTTCTTTTTGCTTTTTCTCTTAACTTGATCACATCTGGGTTGTCACTTTCTTCGTCTACGTATCGGTCAGCCTGACTTCTGAGATTTATACCCAACATTATCTCGGCGGGAGTAGTCTCTGTTGTTTTATGCTTCGTACTGTTAATCCCTTGTTGGATTGCTTCTAAATTTGAGTCCCAATTATCGCTGGAAGTGTCAGCTCCCATTGTGGCTAATGCATCTAATAGTAATCTGTTAACTCGTTCTACTTGTCCGTTACCTCTGGGCATACCAACTGCTGTTATGTGAAGCCGAATGCCTCTATTTTCACAAAATTTATTGAATTCATTTGATGTAAAAGCTGTTCCAGCGTCGGCTACTATTCTTTTCGGATTGCCAAAAATAGAAAATATTTCTGACAATTGTTTTATTACATTAACAGCTTTAGTATCCGGAACTGCTCTGGGAAACACAAATTTTGTAAATGCATCAACAACTACTAATAGGTGGCTATTTCTCTTACTGCTTTCCACGAAGGGTCCAAGGTGGTCAATATGTAAGGTATGAAACGGTTTGGCATACTTTGGAATAGGATGAAGATAACCTGGTTTCTTTCCTCCTGCCGATTTGTGATATAAACAGTTAAGACATGATTTGATATACTTTCGAACAAAATGTTTCATTTTAGGGAACCAATATCTTTGTTTAATCCGTTCTACTGTTTTTTTCTAACGCAAAATGACCAACATCATCATGATTCAGCTTTACCACCTGCCATCTACATTTCTTTGGGACCATCCAACGTCGACCTCTTTCTGTTAATCTGAAAACTCTATTTCCACGTAAATCAAATTCTTTAAAGATTTTTTTGTTGTTTTGCATGTCACCAGATAATAATATTTCTTTTATTTCTTTAATATTATTATCCTGTTCTTGGGCTTCTTTCAACCAGTCTTCTTCATTTATTAGTTTTATACTTAGTTCACATTCCTCCTGTGTTATTTCTGGATTACGACTCAAGGCATCAACGTGCTGCATCATCTTTCCTTGTTTGTGTTGTATATTAAAATTATATTCTTGTAGTGACAGTAGCCATCTTGCGATTCTGGGAATAATTGTTTGCTTTGACATGGCATTTTTAACGGCATTGCAATCAGTGAAAATAGTAAACGGAATCCCCAAAAGATAGTGTCGAAATCGTTCTAAAGTTCTTACAATGGCAAGTAGTTCTAATTCAAATGAGTGAAACTTTCTTTCGTCAGGAGAAGTTTTCTTGCTGTAATAAGCTACTGGTTTTTCTTCTGCTCCATTGAGTTGAATAATTATGCCTCCAATTCCTTCTTGGCTAGCGTCTGTGTATACACGTGTTTCTAAATTTGGACTGAATATGGCTAGAATGGGAACTGAGCAAATCATTTCCTTCAGATGGTTTACCAGTTCTGTATGATTCTGAGTCCAATTCCATTTCGAATCCTTTTTCAATAAATCTGTTAATATACTAGTTTTAGAAGCGTAATTTTTAATAAATTTTCTGAAATAACCAGTAAGCCCTAGAAACTGTCTTACCTGGTGAATAGTCTTTGGCATAGGGAAATTTTTAACAGCAAATGTTTTTTCTTCACTAATAGAAACATTATTATTGCTAATTACATATCCTAGGTACGTTATTTTAGTTTGAAAAAATTGAGATTTTGATAATTTAACAGTTAGACCATGTTCTTCAATGATCTGGAAAACTTTTTGCAATTTTTCTATACCCTCACTTATTGTGTTAGATGGAATAATAATATCGTCCAGGTAAGGAGTGATACCGACATTTCGAAGAGGTTCAAAAATTTCAGACATCATTCTCTGAAACTCCGCAGGGGCATTACATAACCCAAAGGGTACTCTTAAGTATTCGTAATGTC